AGCCTCTCTGCTCCTATGATGCTGCTTGGCCTGCTGTGTTCATCCAGCCCTGCACCTTGTTGTCTTAGTTTACTCAAGTGCCCTTTTGTTGTTTGTTTGCTTTGTTTTATGTCTGGAATTCTGTCCGAAAAGATTTCCCATGTCCATATTATTACCTTTTTATATTGGAGTCCCTGGCATCAGATGGACTCCTCCTGCACTTGGGATTCTCCTTGACTGAGATGGAAATCTCATCATTGACTTGTTTGGGTGTCTTGACAGGAAATGACACAATCATGGCCACCACCTCTGACTGCCATACAAACGCCCAGTACAACGGAATCATCCAAATTTCCGTTCCAAAACAAGGTATGTAGAGTGTATCAAATAGATAATACAACTACCCAAGTATTTTATCAAATTATTTGCTGAAATTAAGTAAAAAGAAAATATTAAATTTGAAGTGTTTTTGAGGAAAAATAGTTACAATGCTGAGATATTGATCTGTGCAAACTTTTTAAAAGTAATTTCACTTTTGAATTAAAATGTGAAGCTTCTAACCTAAAACACTGAGATATTTTCTTTGTATCTAGGACACCCAGCATGCCTCTTCTGGTTTTGGAGGACACAGTGAGTAATAACTCGTTTGATTTTACTAGTAATGTTTGACACTCAAAAACATACTGAGATTGGTTTTCTTCGCACATATAAACTAACAATGGCTGGTCTTTATTTCATAGTAAAAACTAATTAAAATACTAGTTGAAAATGACACATTACGTTAAAATGAAACCAGTTAATTGTGGCAAAACTGTTTAAAGTGATAGGAAATTTCACGACCTTATTTGGTGAGAATCTGGGGGCAGTTTTCTAATAGCTAATAGCCTCTGAACTCTTAGCCTATATGTAAAATAGGCCATTTAAAATGAGAGCCCAATGCAGATGCTGCAAGCTTGTTTGCTTTCAGTTGTCTAGTTCTGAGGTTCAAAAACACTGCAGAGCCCCCCACCCATTTGGCATGCATTCCCAGGTTATTGAGAACGTGAGCTTCCAATGCAATTTTTCATAGCAGTGACTCCATTACAAGTTATCTTGACAGTTCATGGATGGTTGAGTCCCAGGTGATTTTTCAGGAAGTGAGTATTGAACTTGCAAGAGCTGCATCAGGGTAATTGCTAACAAATATGAGGTACCAGAAACCGCTCAGACTGCAACTGGTAGAACTGCTAGAACAGTGACAGATTACTGTTACACGAAAAGTGGCTTTAATGGGCCCAATGGCTGCTTCTAGAAATGAGCAGGAACTCGAACCTAGCAAGCTGAGCTAAGATCACTCGTGAACACATTTTCAAGTCTGGTCAGTTAGGTTAAAAGATATTTCTTTGACACCTTCTGGTTGTGTGTGAAAGTGGAGATCCTGGAAGCACTCAGGAATTTGGTGCTGGAAATCCCTTCAGGACTCAAATAAGGGCAAGCATTTCAACTTGCCTGATTTCCATCTTTTCCCCACCACTGCCCTTGGCCTCTAGCTTCCTTTCCAACCACTTCAATTAAATCCTGCAAAAAAAATTTCACTCGTCTTGTGGGCAAAAAAAACGTCAAGTGAGACGAAATAACCTTTGAAATGAATACATATATGCAAATATTACTATATTTGTAGAGATTTTTTCTTTTCCTAAGCCTTTAAGCCTATACATGAAGAACAAAACCATTGCCCTTTAACTAAATAAGGTTGTGATGACCAAATATGTGGCTGTAAGTACTCCAGTGCTTATTGATGCAGGCACTGACTTTTATAAATCCACTTGGATTATACTGCCAGTCAGAAATCAAATGATCCAAACACTTGTTGTTCAGGTCCTGACCTCCAGTATAAACGCAGTATTAACCTCTTTAAATCACATTCTTTTTAATCTATTGTTGACTAGCCACAATTTTCAAGTTGGGCTTTTGGCTGAGGTCCTTTTCACTGTGCATTGCTGACACATGTAGTTCAATCAGCTGACTCCAAATCTAGTGTGGATTTGTCACAACAATGCAGATTTTCTATTGAAGTGAAGGGGAAAAAAAGTATTTTTAATCTACCTGTTCAGAGTCGCTATCACGCACCTGTGGAACAGGTGGGACTTGAACCCAGGCCTCCTGGTCCAGGGATAGAGTCACTACCGCTGCACCACAAGTGAGGCAATAGCCATTTTGATCTATGACTTCTTCTATTCATAAAATTAAATTATTGCATCATCACTGCATTATTATCTTATTTCTAACTATGGTTTTCTTAGAATATGTATAGTCATTAATTGGAACAAATGCAAATTTTAATTAACAATAACTTAAAAGACGTGTACAAGATTGCTTTGGCTTAAAGGAAGTTCCGTTTACAACCTAAGGATATCCCAATGTGCTTATATCAATGATTCTCACTCTCTCGCTCTTGTGCATCCTGTCATTGTGGTGCTCCTGACTAAATTGTGCAATCATCTGTGATGTTGAATTCAAGAATTAATAATGAATCTTGGATTTCTCCAGGTGCAAAGTGAATTTTTAAATAAAAATGTTCACTCAGCCCAAATATGTTTTCTATGCAACCTGTTCAGAGAAGTTACAACACATCTCTGGAGCTGATGGGACTTGAATACAATACGCTTGTGATAAATTGAACCACTAGTTTAGATTTGGGCCATTCAGAAACATGAGCCGTTCATTAGTTGACTGCAACTTGAACTTCAGATTGATCAAAGTTAATAGGATGTGTGCTATTAGCTCTTCCATTATGTCCCATCTGCATTCGGTTTTACAGAGAAATGTGAGATCCTTTCACGAAGTTCTCAAGAGGAGAATTCGTAAGTACATATTTTCTTTAAAATGCAACTGCTTTTTTTGTTTTGCCATCTTGAATGATTTGCGTACAGTCTCTCAAGTTTGTCAGTTAAATTTGTAAAGTTTATGAAGTTAAACTGGTGTACTCTTCCTCAAATTTAGTGGGCATAATCCTTCCTGTGTTCGATGCTAAGATGAGCAGCACAGCAAGTTCATCTGTTTGTTTCAATGCTATTAGGTAACAATTGGATAGAGTACAGGTAGCATCCTTCTCTTTCGCTTAATCTACTGAGGGCTGGAAAGCTTCCATAATCCCCTTCCAACCCAATGAAAGACCATGTGATTGGCTGCTCCTTGACAGTAATAGCCTTTAACTTTGAATTTATCAGTTCTTTAAAATCATGTGGAGTGCTGACAATTTGCTTTCTCCACCTTAAACCATGTAGACTTCCCTCTATTCTCTATTCTCTATATTCATTTCACAAGTATTGAAGAATGAGAGTCTTACGTCTGTTTCTTGTTTATTTGAGGACCCACAATGAGATGTCCTGCACCTTAAATTGCAGCGTCCTGTTAATCAGTTTGCATCAAAATGGTGGAATATTTATGATTGTAAATAGATTACAAGATGCTGAACACTTTGTGGGGTGAATTTTTTTTATTAGCTTTGCTTTTCAAGAATAAAACACAAAATCTTCTATTCCTACCTAAAGACAAGTTGCGAGGAAATATAACTCTGTGCATAGTTTTAGGATGCTGGCTATTTGAACCATTACTGGATTATGCAATCCAGAAAAAACGTTCAAGGGGCCTTTGTGTTCATAAATCTACACTTGTAGGAATTTCCAGAAGACATTTGCTACAGATTTCCATAAGAGACTGAGAGTCAAAGTCAAACTTGTGGAAGTGAGGGCAATATATTTATCTGATTTAAGCTGCATATCAAGAGACATGTAGGAAGAAAAGGGAAGCAAATTACCGTAGATGCTGAAATCTGTACTGAAAACAATAAATGCTGGAGGTCACAGGGTCAGGCAGCATCCATCGAGAGACAGCAAGCTAATGTTTCGAGTTTAGATGACTCTTCTTCAGAGCTGAAGTGAAATGTGGAGGGGTCAGCATTTAGCTGTAGTTGGGGGGGGGGTTGGTGGTGTGGAGGAGAAAAAATGTTAGTCCTGATTAAGTGATCAGAATGTGAGAATGTCAGAACAACGGTGTGTCCACCTGCCAGACTTGAAAGAGCAGACAATCCCACTGGCATTTGAGGGAGAAGAGAGAGGGCATGATAACAGAGAATGTAACAAGTAAACCTACAAAGAAATGGAAAATGTAACAAATAAAGCTTAAAAGGGAAGAAATGGGAGTTGGTTCACAATTTGAAGGTGTTGAACTCCATATTGAGTTCAGAAGGCTACAAAGTGCCTTGTCTGAAGATGAGATGTTGTTCCTCCAGTTTGCACTGTGATTCACTGGAACACTGCAGCATGCCGATGACAGACAAATGGGTGTATGAGCAGGACGCGGTGTTAAAATGACTGGCTATGGGAAGGCCAGGGTCATGCTTCCGCACAGACCAGAGGTGTTCCGCAAAGTGGTCACCCCCAGTCTGTGTTTGGCCTCTCCAATGTCGAGGAGGCCACACTGGGTGCGGTGAATACAATATACATAAGATTGGAGGAGGTACAGGTGAAATGCTGCTTCACCTAGAAAGACTGTTTAGGCCCTTGGTTGGTGAGCAGGGAGGAGGTGAACAGGCAGGTGTCAAACCTTCTGCGGTTACATGGGAAGGTGCTGTGGAGCGGGGGATGGTGTTGGTGGTTGTGGAATGGAGTAGGGTGTCCCAGAGGGAACGATCCCTGCAAAATGCAGATGGGAGAATGAGGGGAAGATGTTTGGTAGCGGCGTTCTACTAGAATTGTTTGAAATGGCAGAGAATGATCCTTTGAATGCGGAGGGATGGAAAGTGAGGACAAGGGCAACCCGATCTCACTGTTGAGTGATGGAAAGGGGCAAGGGCAGAAGCACTAGCAGTAGGTTTTTTTTCCACCTTACACTCACCCCCAACAATAGCATAAATGCTGTCCCCTCCACACTTCACTTCAGCTCTGATGAAGAGTCATCTCAAAATGTTAGCTTGCTCTTTCTCCATCGATTCTGTCTGACCTACAATGATCTCCAGCATTTGTTCTTTCAGAAAAGGGAGGTGCTCCAGTTGGCAAGGTACAACTGCAGGCTTTCTGCATGATCCGTGATGGTGCATCAGGTATTCTTGTATTTAATAACTTGGGTGATGACGAAGTTACCCATGTCCATGTCTGACAATGGCAAAAAGACAGACAAGTTTTATAAGTGGTATAGATGGAAGCATAAAATTGAAGAGGAGATTAAGAATTTGAATGGCCAAAACGGTGGCAAATGGAATTCAAAATAGGTCAGTGAGGTAATCCAGCTTTGACCTAGAAAGGATAGATAATATTTGCATAACGATGAAATGATCGAAACAATGGAAGTGAAAGACAGATTTGTTAGCATGATACCCCAGGTTAAATGATACCTAGAGTTAAGTTCCACAGATGATTATACACATCAATATTGTATTTCCTGAAATTTAGAACGATATGGGATGGTTTGGTCAGTTTTGAAGATTTTAAGAGAGGGGCAGAAAGAGAGAAAAACTATTTTGCTGGTTGGAATATCTAGATCGATGCGACAAGAAATGGTTTCGGGCTCTGGAGGAAAAACTGAGTGAGTGGTTGTCTTCTGTGCTGCATGGTTGTGTGATCTGAATGAGGTGCTACGACACTGCTATTCTCTGTAGATCCAAACTCTTGAGGTGAGGTAGCAGTTTTAGGGATGGAGTAGAATGCCAGAAAAACAATTGGAAATGTAATATAAATGTGATTTAGAAGTGGAATTCTATCCTGTAATGAGCAGTAACAGCTTCACTAGAAGTTTCCTTTATCTTTTATTCAATGTTAGTATGCATTTGCGAAACATGTAACTTTTGGATAAATTTATCCTGCAAAAAGCATAGTATAATTTATTTTGATTTTTTATTTTACTGGTCAGTAATTAATGAGAAGTCACACGACACCAGGTTATAGTCCAACAGGATTATTTGAAATCACAAGCTTTCGGACCATAGCCCCTTCGTGAAGTGAGAGAAAAGCACACAGACACAGAATTTATGGGCAGAAACATCAAAAAGTAATACGAATGGAGTGTCGAATAATAAGTCTCTGCAGGTGATCAAAAGTGTCAGATGGTGTAAGTAAAGTTTGAACAACTGAATAACAAGTAGAGGGATGACCCTCTGCATGTGACTCTCATAGCTATCACATTATTCCAGTCATTTTGTTTGTCTGTAGCACCACCTTATTCTTAACTTTTTGTAATGATCTCTCTGCCCCATTTAATTGGATTATAGATCATCCCTTTGCTTGTTGTTCAGCTGTTGAAACTTTACTCTCACTGTCTGTTTTTAATCACCTGCAGACATTTATTATTTGACACTCCAGTCACACCCAGTTGTATGATCTTTTGATGTCTTTGCCTATAAATTCTGTGTCTATGTGCTTCTCTCTCACTTCACCTGACAAAGGGGCTACGTTCTGAAGGCTTGTGATTCCAAATAAATCTGTTGGACGATAACCTCATGTCGTGTGATTTTTAACTTTGTTCACCCCAGTCCAACACTGGCACCTCCCACATCGTAGTAATTAGTGAGTTCATATCTATATCAGAAAGCTGGCATGATGTTGACTGTTAGGAGTTGCCTAATTATTAACTTGCCTTCTGCTGCAGTGATAAGTCCCTACTTGATTTATGGAATTAAGCAGTCAACTGGCTTTAATGCTAAACTGTCTAAATTAGACCATGATATTTATAGCATCTGAATGCTGCAGGCAGCCTTGCCTATTTTATACTCAAATTAGGTGATTGTCCCAGAGGATGATTAGAACTGTACGCCGCAGAGTTTTGCGCTCTCAATTTGTCAATGCCTTGGTGTAAAGTGAAACCATCTCAAATTGCCTAGTGAGCCTGTTTAACAAAGTATCACAGTCTACAAGTTTATTTTTTGCAGTATCATCCTTGACAAGATTATTTACAGCACAGACTGTTCAACTTGGAAACAGTTGCTAATTAAAGATCAGAACTGATGTGGAAGCACTGCTGCTCAGTGTCACAGTTGGTTACTTATTCTTAAACCTCCATTTCAATTTATCTCCCTTCCACACACTTTTTTGAACAAAGTGACTCCTACTGGTATACAAGTTGCACCTCTATGGCTGCACAGATTGGTCCCATTAAATGTTCCACTGGCTATGTGCTACATGGACATAGCAACTAAACCTAATTAAATCCTCCATCTAAATGTCCACATTCAAGTTTTTCTATATGAATCACTCAATCTTAATCAAGATTGAAAATATTGAACACTCTTTTTTTTGTTCAGCAAAAGTTCAAAGAAACCAAAGCCAGTTATGGTGGCCTAACTGCTCAGCCTGCCGCTGCAAGCCAAGTATGTGGATTTTACATTGTCTGGTTTTTTCAATCTTACCTGACCGATTAAAAGCTCTGGACGTCCAAAACAGAGGTATAATTGAAACCGTAGGCAATTAGAAAACTTAGCCTTACACACTGTTTAGGGTATATACTTCTCAGCTACAATTTTTTTTTTGCTAAAGCAGATTCCATTCAATACTTCAAAAAGGAATTGTGGAATCAACAAGGATATGGGTTGAAGAAGGTAGCATCAGTGGTCAAAAATTCTGACAGGCACTTGATGGGCTGAATGGCCTTGTTCTGTACTGCCATTTTGCAGTAGTTGCATATGCATAAACTGCACGCTAAAGTTGTTGTGCTGTGCAACCAGTTGTATTTAGTTGGTTGCAGATAGTTGAATGCAGTTACATGGTGAAGAAGATACTGAGAATACAACTTGTAATGCATGGCAATTTTAGCAATTTACTTGTAAGCAGCTGATGTGTTTGTTTTGTTCTCAGTTTTAGCAATAACTGCTTGAAGATATTTTCCTAACCATTTTAGGCTTAGCAACTATATCACCACCTGATTGGCTTGCAGAGGTATAGAGAGAAGGTGACGTGCTCTGCGTACAAAAAACTTTTCACGTCAGTTACTAAGCCAACATTGGGTTCAGTTATTTTTAAAGAGGATTAGTCAAGTACAACTTGAAATTTGGAGGCTTATTCTTCAGATTAAAATATTTGGTTAACAGTAGAATTAGAGTTCAGGATGATTTATTCCCTCAACAACTAATCCTCACTTTGCGTTTCTTTGTATTCTATCCATATGGATTTTTCTTTTAATCATCTTCAGTAATAGCATTAAGATTCTGTGACACACTGCATTTAAGTAAATGTAAACCAGGCTTAATTGTACTTGCTGTATTTCTATTCTACTCTTCATTCAAATGGGCATGTAATACATGAACGGTAGTCTTTCCTTCTAATGGAAGAAAGTGTGTCGGATCACGTGTTAATTGAATTAGAATCAGTTGACATGAGTAGTTAAAAATGGAAGAAAAGAAAGAGATTTTCATGTCTCTGATTACAATGCACATTTTCACGTTTTCCATCATTTTGTCTTTGAATTTTTTCATGACCTTAGTATGTTAAATATTTTAATTCTAATGTATAATTATGATTCTTTAACTATTATTTGATGATTACTTGAAACAATGTACAGAGCTATCTGCAGAAGAGTTCTCTGACTCATACCTCCAAGGTTTACTGTGAAAAGAGACCCAACTTTGGGGGCAAAAATATTGCTTTTATTCAGCATAGTTCACAACTACAGGAGATCCCTGAAGATCTTGCAGCCATTGACGTACTTTTGGAGTGTAGTCAATGTTGGAATTTTGAAGATATAGGAACCAGTTTTGTGTACAGAAAACTCCTACAAACAGCAAAGTGATAATCAACATATAATAGTTGTTAGTTACCTTGCAGTATTGGTGATAGGGAATGGAATAAGTATTCACTTTTTATTACTCTCAGTAATTAGTAGGTGTTCCTAAATTGGATTTGATGTCTTTCAAACACACACACTCCTTCAGTTCTCCCCAGACAGCATTAATTTCAAAGGAACACCCTTAAAGTATTCCTGCTATGATATCTTGCACATTTCTGTATGGTTTCTTTAATGATATGTACGTTTTTGTGATGAACTGCAGGTATTTGAAGCTATAACTATGATGATTGGATTGAGCTTCCTAAAGCAATCTCAAATTGAAGCTTTTATAAACAGCAGAGAGAGTGGAAATACTCTGGATTTAAACCTAGGTCACAAGACTCTGAAAGTGTTATTTACAGCCAGCTTCAAACAAATCGTACCAAAATTTGTGGAGCCAGTTTTGAATTTGAACCTTGTGCAGCGACAGTTTCTGTGCTTACAAGGAGCCACACAAGGAGATTAGAGAATCTTTTGTGTTTATATATCATCTGTCACATCCTTAGTGTCGTGAGGCACTTCAAACCCTGTTCATTGTGGTTCACCTGAGAGGTGGATGGTCTTTAACAATTTTTATTGGGTCATATGTCTTTCCATTCCATATGTAATGAGATGCTTTGAAATCAGATTCTCTGTTTTTTTTAAAGAAAGAGCATTTTCAGATAAGCAAAATCCATTTTTTTGCATATAATGGCATAAAGGCAATTTAAAAAAAAACTTGTTTCATGTTCTCTGGGCATTCCAAAGGGTGTCACAACCAATGAATTGGATATATGATCATTATGATAAAGTGGCCAACTCGGGTGCAATTGGTCTGAATTACCACAAACAATATAAATGATCAGTTTATCCCTTACCATTGAAAGAGATTATGTTGGCCAGGATAAAGTAAACAAAGGAAATTGTTAGATGTATAACTGGAGACCCAAGATCAATTGCAATAGATACTGTGTTGCGGTATTGAGCTACAACTCAAGTCAAATTCCAGGTCAAACCAGGAATGGAGCTAAGCCTTCATCATAGAACCATATAAAAGTTACAGCACAGAAGTAGCCAATTGGCTCGCTCATGTTTAAATAAACCAGCCACCCATTCTAATCCCTCTTTCCAGCACCTGATCTGTAGCTTTGCAGATTACAGTACTTTGGGTGCAGATTCAGATTCCTTTATAATGACTTGAGAGTTTCCACCTAAACACCAAACCAGGGAGTAGATTCTAGATTTGCACCACCATCTATGTGAAGAAGATGTTTTCCTTTTGTCATCTCTGATTCTTCGAATTAACTTAAATCTGCGCTGTCGTACTTGACCTCTCTACTTGGGTCAACTATACTCCCCTATCCACCCTATCCAAGCCCTTCATTATTTTGTCCAATTGTGCAATGAAGTTGCGCTCCTACTCGACCAAACCGCTGATATTTTTCTGTAGTCGCCAGTCATTCCCTTCACTGTCAACTGCCTGGGCAATATTTGTTAAGTCTGCAAATTTCCCAATCATGCCTCTCACGTTTAAGTTTAAATTGTTCACGTAGCGCAGAAAACAAGGGACCCAGCACTGAAACCTGTGGAAGCCACTGTCCATTCACTAAAACATCCATCAACCATTACCTCTAATTCCTGTCACTGAGCCTGCCACATTACACTGTATCCCACGGATGTTTTTCAGAACAGTCTGCCGTGTTTACTGATTGATTTGATTTATTACCACCTATACCGAAGTACAGTGAAAAGCTTTGTTTGTGAGCAGTGCAGGCAGATCATAGTAAGCAAGGATGTACGGTTCATAGGGTGAAAAAAAATCTTGGACAGGTTACAGCACACGCAAGGCAAGATCAATATTAACAAGATCAGCATTATTTGAAGTTAGAGAATCCATTCATCAGTCTCATAACGGCAGGGAAGATGATGTTCTTGATCCTGTTGAGGCATGTGTTCAGGCTTCAGTATCTTCTGCCTAACGGAAGAGGTTGTAGGAGAGCATTACCGGTGTGGGAGAGATCCTTGATGTTGGCAGCCTTTCTGCAGCAACAAGACGTGTAGATGGAGTCCATGAATGGAGGGTTGGCTTCTGTGATGGTCTGGGCTGTATATACAACCTTCTGTGGTTTCTTAAAGGTCCTGGCCAGAGCAGTTGCCATACCATACTGTCCTGCATCCGGACAGTATGCTGTCAATGGTGCATGTGTAGAAGTTGGTGAGGGTCCGTATGGACATGCCAATTTTACTGAGTTGCCTCAGGGAGAAGAGGCGTTGTAGTGCTGCCTTGACCGTCGCATCTACATGGGAAGTGCAGGACAAGTTGTGGGTTGTCGTCATTCTTCATGGACACCCTTGACCCTCTCAACCTGTGGTCTGTTGATGTAGATGGGGCATGTTCTCCCCCTTTCTTTCTGAAGTCGATGATCAGTTCTTTAGTTTTGCTGACATTGAGAGGGAGGTTGTTGTCGTTGCACCACGACACTACCACACTCTCTTTTCTGTATTCTGGCTCATCCTTGTTTGATATCCATCCTAACACGGTGGTGCCATTAGCAAACTTGTAGCTGGTGCTCATTTGGAATTTGGCAATGCAGTCGTGGGCATACAGGGAGTACAATGGGGGACTGAGAAAGAATCCTTGGGGAGCTCCAGTGTTGAGTGTTACTGTGGAGGAGGTGCAGTTGTCTATCTTCGCTGATTGCGGTCTATGGGGCAGGAAGCTGAGGATCCGGTTGCAGAGGGTGGAGCCGAGACCTTGTGGTATGTGTGAGGCCTTGCTGAAATCCATGTAAACTACATCTACTGCACTACCCTCATCAATTCTCCTTGTTACTTCCTCAAATAATTTAATTAGGTTAGTAAGACGCTTCTTTTGCTGAACCAACCCATGCTGACACCCCCCAGTTTATCTCTGCTTTGTCAAATAACATTGATTCTATCTTTCAACATTGATTCTAAGTACTTTGCTGACAGACTGCCCTATAATTATTTGGCCCATACCAGGGATCGTTTTTGAATAATGGTACAACGTTCATAGACTTCCAGTTCTGTAGAGCCTCATTATTTTTGTGGGTTCACTAAAGTTTGGATTCACTAAATCGTCAAGGATTGTGCTGGGATTATAAGTATATTGCTGCTTGGTATACAAGAAATTACTCAGTTTGTCAACTTAAAGAGAAAAAGGTTTGATTTGGGAAAATTATTCTGGTTAACAAATGAAAATTGGTAAAATCTCTTAAAAAATTAGCATGTGGCCTAGTTATTATCTTTTTGTGTAAATTTACTTCCAGGACACTTGAAAATGACCTCCAAATCAGCAGCAGTGATGACAGTGATGGAGATCAGGTTAGTCTTTGATTTTCTGCAGGATATCTGTAATCTAATTAAAAACTGAAAGAACTGCGGATGCTGAAAATCAGAAACAAAAACAGAAATAGCTAGAAAGACTCAGTAGGTTTGGCAGCACCTGTGGAGGAAATCAGAGGTAATGTTTTGGGTCTTCCTCCTTCAACCCCTCCTTCAGAATAGCCTGAGTGTCCTAAGGAGGGGTCACTAGACTCAAACCATTAACTCTGATTTCTTCCACAGATGCTGCCAGATCTTCTGAGCTTTCCCAACCATTTCTGTTTCTGTACCTATAATCTAGGCTCTGGTTACTGAGTTAGCTAGAGACCTGTAGTGTGGTTCAAGATAGCACCAATATCATGAACTCTGTTTACATTCTGGCTAAAATACACTTGGGATCTCCCTCTCCATTATAGTACCTTGGGCTGTATAACTGCTTGTCTGTCTTTAACAGAGAGAAAGAGATGTCTATGGTCCCTATGTATAATTTCCTACATCAATTTCTGTACTCTTTGTTCAATTAATATGAAAACTGAGTTGTTTTAATGATATCTAAATAGTTTGGATTGCATGCAAGATGTAATCTTTCTTTCTTAAGATGTAACAGACTAATTGATTTTCTTGCTTCTCTTTTCACCTCTTCTCCGTCTCATGCCCACTATTACTTCCCTTTTCCCACCTGTCCTCCCCTACACCTCAAATACAGGTCATGGACAAGCCAGTGCCTATTTCTGCCCCTAAAAGGTACATTTATTTTCTATTCAAATTTGTATTCGTTTTGATTTTTGTCTGTTCAAATCCATGTCCTAAGACATACTGCAAATGAAGCCTTCCTTTCCTGTGCATTTTTACAGTAAGAAGTAAATCCTTATCAAATCCTGATCTGATTCCACACACCGACAACTTTTTCAAGCAGAAATTCATCAGGTGACAATTGGAGGCGGAACTGTGCCATATTTCTACCCCCTCTCTCCTTCCCAGAGCAGTTGTACTGCTTTAACAGCTACCCAGCTGATTCAGTTTGTTTTGTTGGGCCAAACAAGTGAAAATACCTATGAATATTTTTACATCTTGAAGACCAAAGTGGTAAAGTTAGAACAAATGATGAACTAAACAAAAAGAAACCAGGTCCACCAAGCTTAAAGCTTCATAATATTCACAACAGCCCTCACCACCTGTAGCAATGTAGAGCTTTTTCTTTCAAACCAAGCAACAACCAATTTGCGGCAAGTGGACAGTGGAGGAGTGTAACATGAAAATCTGGAATGTGGGTCTCCACCCACCTTTTGGTGAATGAATTTATCCTTGTTCAACGATGGTGGGAAACCAGGGAATTCCAGACCAGTTAACTTGACATCTATGGTGGGGAATTGTTGGAGCCTATAATCAAGGATCGAGTAACTGATCATCTTTTTAAAAAAAAAATCAGTTAATCAGGGAGACTGACAAAGGTGGTAGGCAGATTTAAGTAAATGGAACATGTTTATGTGGACTTCCAGAAGGCTTTTGATAAAGTTCCACAGAAGAGATTGTTACCTAAGGTGGAAACCCATGGAATTGAGGGCATATTACTGACATGGATAGGAATTAGGGAGTTGGAAAAATGGACAAGTACTCAAATTGGCAGGACGTGGCTGGTCTTGTCCTTTAGGATTCTATGTTGGGATCTCAGTTATTCATAATATTCACTAACTTTTCATTCCATGATCAAAGTTGTTAAATATCCAAATTTGCTGATAACCAAAAATTGGGCAGCATTGTAGACAGTATTGACGACAGCATGAAATTACAATAGGGTGTTGATAGATTAGGTGAATGGGCAAAGCTGTGGCAGCTGGATTTTAATATAAGCAAGAATGAAGTTACCATTTTGGACCAAAAAAGGATAAATGAGGATATTTTGTTTAAGAAGGTACAAAGTTAAATATAGTGGATATCCAGTGAGATTTGGAGGTTTAGGTGCATAGCTCTTTTAAAAGAAATTTAAGCCACAAACATGTACAGAAAATAGTGAAGAAGGCTAATGGAATGCTGACCTTTATATCTAAAGGGCTGGAGTATAATGATGCAGATGTTATAGTTATAGTTATAGCTATAGTTATACAAACCCTTGTTTGGACTCCACTTAAGAGTACTGTCAGCAGATTTGAGCACCATATCTTGGTGAGGATATTTTAGTCCTCGGGAGTTCCACACAGTTTTACATGGTTTGTACCTGGACTTCAGTGGTTAAGTTATGAAGAGAAATTAGACCAATTTAGCCTTAACCTTCTAAATTTTAGAAAATAAAGGACTGATCTAATGGAGGTATTAACAGTGAAAGACAGTAGATGAAGATAAATTATTTCCACTGGTTGAAAATTCTAGAACTAGGGACATAGTCTAAGAATTAGGGCCAGGCCATTCTGGAGAGGTATTAGAAAGCACCTCTATGTACGAAGAGTAGTGAAGGTTTGGAACTGTCTTCCTCAAATGGCAGCTAATTCAATTGTTAAAATTAAATCCTAGGTAGACTAATTTTTATTAAGCAAGGGTATCAAGGGATATGGTCCCAAGGCAGGCATATAGAGTTAGGCCACAGATTACCATAATCTTAGTGAATGGCAGAACTGGCTCGAGGGGCTGAATGGCTTACTCCTGATCCTAGGTGCCTATGATTGATTCATTTCTGTTTTATGTTATTCAGTATTCCACTTGTACAAGCGCATAATGATGCATTTTGCTCGAAATTGAATTTTTTTAGCAATGCAACCCAACACCTTTGTTCTGTTCTCAGTTGGTGATACTAGTCATGAACCTTGAGAGAACTAGATACTGTTAACACCAAGATCTTCAATTGACTTCCGTTCTATACCATTGAGGGAGTTTACCCTGCGTGTGTGCTGAACACTACTTTTATCCAAATTAAATGTTGCTATGCAAATGTAGGTCCTCAACGTCACGAGATGCCTCAGCAGAGATTTATTCACAATTTCACAATTTTTATTTCTAGAAACCATGTAAAATGTCTCCGATAATTCCTACTCTATGCAGGTGACCATAGAGCGTATTTTTCCTATGATTGAAGTTATACAAGTTAATGGGTTTGTACTGAGAGATAGTAGGAACTGCCGACACTGGAGTCTGAGATAACAAGGTGTGAAGCTGGATGAACACAGCAGGCCAGGCAGCATCAGAGGAG